AGATATTTAGATTTTGGATTATGATTTTGGAGAGAAAATTTCATATTTTGCAGGCAGGCAGGATAGACAGATAAACAGATGGATACATAGATAGATAGATATATAGATAGATAGATATATAGATATAGATATATTTGCTATGTAAATGTATCTGCTATGCGGGTGCTTCGTGAATATTGCAAGTTCAATTGCACGGCCAGTGTTTACAATAAGAGAAGCAAGTTCAAAATGCTGGCACCATACTCTAATGTTCTACGGTGGTGAATCATATTTCATTGTGTCATTTATCTACGTACCTATAAAGAAATCGCCTGACAGCTACTTGTTTACAAAAACTGTTTATCGAACATATCAAACATTTATCAACACTGGTGATGTGAAACCTTGTGTCCTGGGTTGACCAAACCATACATACAAATACTTTCTTTCCACAAGAAGAGTACATCATCATGGATTTTGAACTTAGATTTCCGCAAATGCAGCTAAATGAATTGGCAAACTGTATTTATAATGTGACTGGATCCACATTCAGCGAGGAAATGTTATGCAAAGCTGTTCATCGACTGGGAATCACTCAAAGGAAGGTAGGCATCAGTCATTTCACGATTGCATTGTGTAGCTTTTTAACAACACACAAAAAAATACCTGACAATGTTTTTAGATACAACAAATTGCTCTGCAGCAGCAGGAGAATCTTCGCTTACGGTTCATGGCTAAAATCACGACTTTTAACCTGCACCATCTGGTTTTCTTAGACGAAACAGGCATTGTGAGTATTCTATAAAAAATCGTTTTGATTTATGAATGAAGCCAATTAAATAATGAATCTTATAATTTATAGGACAAGCGCATTTCCCGACAATATGGATATAGCGTTCGAGGTACATGTCCTGTTGTCGGAGACTACAGTTATTCTTTTGGGGTCCTCATTTCACAGTCATTTCTGCCATATCTAGTGAAGGGATAGTGGCTAATTATATCTTGCCGATTGAACAACGATTTGATGAGGAAGCATTCAGCAAAATTCTGGATCATTGCCTTCTTCCACTAATGAATGTGTACAATGGGTTTAACACACGTTCAGTTATTGCAATGGGTGAGTTACTTTGTATGGTTTCCAAACCTGTTTTAGAACCTATTGTCAAAATTTGTTGTATAATTGAATTATGTTTTTCCATTTTCAATAAAAATATGTTTCTCTATACTTCTAGACAACCATGCAGTTCATCATGTTAGAGATGTTATAGACCACATTTACAACTCTGGAGTGTTAGGTTTGAAGAGGTTTTGTCGAAAGTTAAACATTATATTCGTCTAAATTATGTTGTTTTGAAATCTTTAGCTGATCCTACTCCCCTTATATGGGATGCTTTCGGGCAGATCACACATCAGGATTGTCAAGGATACATGCATCAAGCTGGTTATTTGTAAACTGTGTATATATTTTAGGGGCTTCAAGATAAATGCTGTTTTCAGGCCAACAAGTTTTATGAAACGACCTACATAGCATTATTTTAGTTTTGAATAAAGCATTCGCTTATATCTTCACTCCTATACGGATGTTACATAAAGTTTACTGCATCACTTCAGGTCTTTTAGGAATACATCCTTTTTAGATTCATACTCAATTGGTAATTGCCCCAATTGTCTAAAGTTCGTACAAATTTTTTTTAATTGCCTCAATGTTTCTGAGCGAATGGTAGCTTTTGACGTATCGGTTGTCTCTGCAGCAGTAGATTGGTCAGGCTAAAGAAATAAGAAGATGCAAAAAATATATACATAATTTTATTTTGATTATATACATTACAATTCAATCACCTGCAGTTATAGACTTACCTGGTTCACATTTTCTTCATTTTGATTTGCGGAATTTCTCCCTGCTGTAAATGCACGAGCGATTGTTTCACTTGCAGCGTCAAGCTTACAGCTTCAAATGAGTCAGTCAAATTATGTTTGTTGATAGTCTACGGATTAAGCAACGAAGAAAGAAATTTTCTGACATTATAATGCGGTGTGGATGTTGTATCTATGATTGCTCTAAAAGGCGGAATACCGGTGTAGGTTTTGTGTGTTTTAGGCATACCATGTGCTCGGCCGAAACTTGCTGCCTTGGGGCGCATAAACTTATTAAATTCAGACTCAGAAATTTCATCACGTTTCCGCAAAGTCAAAAGGTTGACTATCAACAAATATAATTTGACTGACTCATTTGAAGCTGTTTCAGCCATAAAGGCTATTCCTCAAAATCTTTTCGATGAAGGTTACCCTTTAGTTTCTTTCGATGTTGAATCACTTTTCACTAATGTGCCTCTTAAACGAACAATTGATATAGTTCTTTCGCGTGTCTTTAAAGATAAACTGATTAAAACTACTCTTTTGAAACGTACGTTGAAAAAATTGCTTTCTGATTCATGTACTAAGACTGTATTTTCGTTTGATCATATTTTATATGAACAGATTGACGGTGTTTCTATGGGTTCATGCTTAGCTCCGGTATTTAGCCAACATCATTCTAACGGAATTTGAAAAAGTCATTGTTTATGATTTAATACGATCCGGTGTCTTAAAATTTTACCACCGTTATGTTGATGACACAATTGTGTTGATAAAACCCGCTGATATACCTTTTGTTATGAGTAAATTTAATAGCTTTGACAAAAACCTCAGGTTCACTGTGGACACTTTTGAGGATAGTAGATTTATAGCCTGCGTAGCAAGCGTTTCCGCTTGGTTTACTAAATGTATATATGTGCACTAGGTCTAGAATGATGGAGCACCAGGTCGTCTAAAATGCAAACAGGGAGGGAGGGGAGAAGGGGAAGGGGGAGGAAAGAAGAAAGGGGTTAGGGAGGGGAAGGAAGAAAAGGAAGGTAACGCTTGCAGACAAACCCCCCGAAATTGAAAAACTTCCTCTATACGGTTGTCATGAATCCATCCAATCAGATCATTGGCAGAAGTAAATACGTTTAAGCCACGTGCGAGATCAAAGTTGACATTTCGATTTCTACTTCGACGTGCGACATGGAAATAAGTTGATCATGAAACGAACCCTAATGACAACTGCAGGTAATGCAAATGCAACTTTAAGGTCAAATTCGGTAACTCGAAACAAGCAAGCCACATATCTACCGAAAATCTATTCAAACCGTCGAATAGAAAAGGAAGCCAAGGAGAGATTTTAGCCAAGATCTGCAAGAATGTTGGACTAATAGTGGTGAAATCTGACGGTGACTCGTCTCGTGTTTCTAATCCATGTGCTCGCAAAATTCGAAATGTTGGTTCGCTGTACAGTTTTATTAAAAACTCTCTACAATCGTCTACACCTACAACAGCAGTATCAACTCCAGTGAAACCAAATCCAGCAAGGAAACGCTTCTTAACGTCACTAGAAGGAAAGAGTCCTGCCCGCAAATCGGTTCGTGTTTTGTCACCAAACGTAAACAAAGAGAACAAACCTACGAGATCTAGGAAAACCCTTGCATTCGATAACCAACAAGACAACGTGGATCAAAACCTTAATATTGATGATCTCCCTGAATGTGGACTGCAAGTTAAGGTTGTCTTGCGAACCAAGTCTGGCGACGTACTCGTGAGAATCCCCTGCGAAGAGGACTCGAAACGTTTGGTTCGACATATTTGCGAGAAGAAATGGCACGCTGTTGCAAATGCTCTCATGAAACATTCGGAGATGTACTCAGAAGTTGTAGAAGCAGTCAGCAAAATCGCTGCAAATGAAACTGCAAATTATGTAAAGACCGAGAGTCTGTTGTTGGCAACAAAGCCTGACGAAATTATTGGGTTCTTAGCAAGATATTCGTAGAAGAACTGCGAGTGTTTTCCCAATGTTTTACAACATAGTTGTTCATGCTAGTGGCCTACAGTCGAATGATGTCAAAAGCACAGGCACCAACACAAATAATGTGGCCCTTGCATCTGCCATTATTTGCAAGCTAAGGAATCCGAAAGCGTCAGCCCTTCATCACAGGATTTCCACTGTACTATTTCATAGTGGGACCAAGCACGACGATCTTGTGAAATTGAATAAACTTGGTGTTTGTATGTCCCCGAAACAAATGGTTCGTTCGCAGCTGGAGATGGGCAAGCAGCTTGAAGGAAAAGTTTGCGTTTGGAAAGCGCAAATAGAAGAGCAAAAAGGAGCTCAGTTGTTGCTCAAAGAAGTGCAAATGAAGCAGGAAACAAGAAAGGAGGAAGATGATATGGATATTGTATCACAAATAAAACTGGACGAAGAAACAGTGTCGAAATACAAGACTTTCAGTCAACGAGGACACACACGTCTTCTTAAGGAAATTGCAACTGTACAGCGTGAAAAAGAGCTATCCACCTGTACAGATTAAGTTTTGGATGCTGTTGAGAGTAAACTGGATAAGAGCAACATGCCACTTTACAGGTAATACGAAATCAAATTAATGTACCCGGTATTGAGGAATTTCTTACATAATTTGTAATATTTTTTGTGTTTTTTATTAATACTTATAGTATAGTTGAGTCGGTTCACATTGATGTACCGCAGGATATATAAAGTTTCTAACTTATTTGCCTTGAATAAATAATAAGTTAAACTTGTGCAGAAATATTGAGAAATCTCGAATGAAAGTGTTTGAAATTGATCGAATATTTTAGTGAACCCTCTCAACTATACTATAAGACGGTTATATACCTTATATTCCCTCGGTCACGTTATATAACCTATACTCAAATGTGAAAATGTCTATGATCTTTCTTAACCCTTTCCCTCCTAGAGCTTTTCTCTGACGAGTAAAATAGTCTGGTGTTAGACATACTGTAGTAAAATATTTAAAGTGGGCGGATTGGAGCGGCATAGTAAAGGGTTAATTGAGTATTTCTATGATTGTAGAATTGTGGGAGACAACATAGACCATGAAATGTATGTGCGTGTCCAGACCAAAAAGCACATGAATCGGTCTATCCATTGGACCCACCAGTTTGCTGTTCTGGATAGGGTACAAGTCCCCAATATGGAAGATACCAAAAGTCAGAGGCTTGTCAAAGATTTGCAGTTCCGGGAACTTCTTCCTGACGTGAAGGTCCAGACCAACTTGTTAAAGCGGTGGGCAGTGCTTGTTAGCAGAATTGTCACCAAGTACATGCAGTATTTTGGCTCTCTCAAGAAATGTACAATCCACCACATCAAACATAAGCATACACAAGAAATGGCACACCGTTCTGTTGTGGTGAGTAACTCATATTCTGAGACACATCTGCTGCTCAGTCCTATTGTTTAATAGATGAGGAGATTGGGTAAAATCATGTGACATGTTACTAAAATAAGTAAAAAGGTGAAAATTTGGTCTGAGTGAACAGTATTTGCTGCACAGCACTGGGGATAATGAAAGGAGTTCTAATACAATATTCCTTCTTTGCATCAAAAGTTGTTTAAAGTTATGCTCTCTCTCTGTTCTTATGTTCTGTCTCTTCTTTGTATAGTGTTGTTTAGGAATGGAATTCTTAAACCCCAACGTAGCTGGAGACATGGCTCAGCTTATGCAACACAACCAGAAAAAGTATGTGCTAACGCTTGGTGACAGTCGAGAGCCATTGATTTGTGTACCAATGCATGGAGACCAGCTCTACGAAGAGAGATCTAGAAATGTCAAATGGTCATTCCGAGATTGTCTGGATCCGCTTCAGCAATTACACGGACTGGATACTGAGTTTGCCGACTGGCATGCCAAGTATACACTATATAAGGTATGCTATGCTACCATTTATGCTACCTAATAAATTTCAAGTTTAAAATGTTTCAAAAGTTATTCAGGTTTTCCATGATTCAAGCCCACATTTCCAGGCACTGCAGAGGGGGGGGGGAATAGCCCCCTCCCCAATAATTTTGCCAACATTAATCATTTCCTAAATTTCCATCTTTTGTTCTCTTTTTTGCATTACTTTAATCAAATTAGTTGCAAAAAGTGCTTGTAGTGCCCCTCAATGACTTATGATGCAATGAGCTACTGGGGAGACCTCCACCAATTTGCTCTGCGGTCCCTGATTTTGCTATAAATGCAAAAATAGCTCCCTAATATTGGACTGTTTTGAAATTCACTTAAATGTATTATTAGTTTGAGTACAAATTGTTTGTGGATCATTCATCTGCTGGTGAGATTGGGACAAGCATGGCAAGCATCAATCGCACAGGCAAAACAAATGCAGCCAAAGGAGTAGAGAATCACTACAACGAATACAGTGAGTTCCACTCAAGAGAAACCGAAGCCCATATACTGGCATCATTCATGGAGCACATGGGGATGAAAAACTTAGATGGTATTACATTGAAATGGGCAATTATTACTTAGCTTCAATAAATTAACCACTCCTTCAGGGAATTTCAGTGATTTTAATACAACGCATATATTTAATGCAATGCATTTATTTTACCACAGATTCCCCCAATGGTGTAACTCTATCTGACTCCGATGCTCCTGGACCCACAAAAGGAAAATGGCTGCTAGATGTTTGTGAGGAGCATGTTAAGAGATTTGTCTTCAATGCTGGTGAAATGACTGGCCTAGTTGAACAAACAGATCAACTCCAGCAAGAAGAGAGTGGCAGGTGGGTTTGCAGAGCTGAAGATTGTGATGCCTCATATAAATTGCATTCAGGAAGAGTGAGGTATTCAAAAATAAAACATAAATAGAGCACGAATAATAAGCATGTACAAGTATAATGTGGAATGGATTGGGTAAAAAGAGCAAATAAAGAAATTATTCACTTCAACCCCTCTGTTAGACTGTTAGTATGAACAGATTTGGGTGATAGTCCGTACCACTCCTTGGAAGTGTAATTACTGTGGTTTCAAAGTATCAAATGAATTTTTAATATAGACATGAAATTAGAATTCATGGCCTATCCTCCTACAATGGTGTACATGAGCATGATCCACTTGGGTATTACTACTGCAGAGTAGGCTGTGGAGAAGTCTTCAAAAGCAAAACCACACAGAAAAGGTATATTATTTATAAGATTTTACATATTTTTGGTTAAAACACTTTTCGCAAACCAGCATCCAAAAATCCGGTGAATGTGATGTAAAATAGTGGTTCAGGGCCAACCTAATAACCATCATTTCACTCCCACACTAGTTTAACTGTTTTTATAAAAAATATTTGAAACCTAGTTTATCAAATCAATTTTCACAAACAATCTTGTCTCCCAACAGTGTACATACTGTAGACATATTGAAGCTATCAGATATATTTGCCTTGATTTTTATTTTTGTTAACAGACATGAAGTGGGCATACATAATGAGACTGCTCCACAAGAAGAGATCCCCCAGGAAGAAAAAGTGTTGCTCAAGATTATTTGTACAATTACCATAGTGCCAAACTTACATTTGGATTAATTCTGATGGAGTTTGAAGATGCAATCAAAGAAGGTGATGGGGACAGGCTCTTTGATATTTACAAGGTTGCCCTTCTCTTGTTCACAATGTGCCACAATGGCCACTACAGGGTTGAACAGACAGTTTTTTAAACAGATAGCTTATTGACGCTCTAGTGCCCAAGGGTATCCCTGTGACGAGTAAAATCGTCTGGCGTTAGACGGAGTAAAATACTGAAGTGTGACAATGGCCACTAGAGGGTTGAACAGACAGTTTAATTAAATAAACAGATAGCTTATTGACCCTCTATAGTGCCCAAGGGTTTCCCTGTGACGAGTAAAATTGTCTGGCGTTAGATGGAGTAAAATACTAAAGTGTCACAATGGCCACTAGAGGGTTGAACAGACAGTTTGTTAACTCTTTAGCGTCTGAATTAAATTTTCACAAATTATGTAATTGGAGAATGTCTTCATTTGGGCACGTTTTATGAGAGTTCTATTAATAAAAAGTATACAAACCTATATATATTTGAGATCAGCTCAACACAGGCTTTTCAAATAAATGCATTTGAACTTCCTAACTAAGCGCATAGGACGTCATCAGTCACATGACAATAATGTACTTTATTATGAAAATTGATACAAATAAGGAAATTCTTGCCAAAATTTTAAAAAGTGATATGTAAAACAACATTTGTAGGCTAAAATAGCTAAATTACATTTTCTGGTTATCATATGAAACAAAGAGATCCAAAAATTTAAAAAATCTGATAATGGTGTCTATAAAATAATAATCTTTTTCAACTACACCTTTCATAGTTTTCATTATAAGAATTCTGTATGCTTCGTAAAAATGCAAAATAGTACTTACAGTTTACTTTGTGTGTGAAATGGCTCAAAACATTTCTTACATATAAATTTGTCACATTTTCCACAGTAATTGGATGTTTTGGTGTCTTTATATTTCTTATTGGGCCCTTTCTTGTATGCACAAATTGAACACCGTCCACGTTTGGGATGTAGGCTTTCAGGGAAATGTTTTCCTTTTAGCCTCAATTCATCAAGGTTTGTTCTTCTTCCAGCAGTAGGGGAATGAATATCAGCTTTTCCTTCAGCTTTTCCATTGAGGAGAGGTTGGACAAGATCATGCACAAGCTGGATTCGGAACAATTTATGGGCTTGGCGCTTCTTTGCAAAATCAGGGTTTGCACAGAAGTATAGCACCATTGCATTGATGATGCATAATTCTAGCAACCTGAAAAACACTTTCTTCCACCATTTCATAGATTTTCTTCCTACAGAATAATAGTTCAAGTACTGGTCACATTTATCAACTCCATTCATGTATTTATTGTACTCAACTATCATATCTGGCTTTTCAATTCCCTCGGGCTCGCCTCGCCTTTCAATTTGTTGACTACTACTACCATGTAATGCTGACACAACAAACACATCTCTTTTATCTTTCCAATGGACAGCTACAATGTTTCCATTTCTTATATACTTTGAGGATCCCTTTGGAATGCTGCCTTTACGAAAGTCATTTGGAAACTGTCCTCGGTCTGCACGGATAGTTCCACATGCAAATGTTCGACGACTAGCTAGGTCAGCAACAAGTTGAAAACCTGTGTAGAAATTGTCAAAATATAGGTGGTACCCTTTATCCAAATAATCTGTTATGAGGTCAAATACAACTCTGTAGGCTAATCCATGCTCAGCTACACCTGTGTCAGCTTTTCCAGTATAAATTTGAAATTGGAGACAATATCCTGTCAAACTTTCACACAAAACCCATAGTTTGATGCCAAATTTTTTAGGTTTTTTAGGCATGTACTGAATGAAGCTCACTCGACATTTTGTTCCAACCATTTGTTCATCAATGCTCAAGTTCCTTGATGGGATATACATACTCTTGAACTTTGTGGCTAGATAATCTGGCAAGTTTCCAAGCTTGAAAAGCTTATTCCCAGGAGTAGCTTGCTGAGGTTTTGTTGTGTTGTCCACTAAATGAAGGTAGCGATATATTTGGCTAAACCTGTCCCTGGAAAATATGCTGGAATACCATGGCATACAGAGTAATGGTTCAGTACTCCAGTAGTCATAAATCTCTGGAAGATTTGATATCCCCATTGCAATAACCACACCAATAAATGCCATAACTTCTTCTGTGGAAACATCTTTCCATGGTAGTGGAGAGGGCTTTGTTTCTTGGCACTGTTGGTAGTATAAATTGGTCTGAGTAACAACCATTTGAAATATCTCAACTGTAAAAAACAATTTGAGATATTCAAGTGGAGAGAGGAGAGACCAGATGCAAGACGACGTGGTCCTGGGACCTCATGGAATGGCTCCTCTGAGTTGGGATTGCTAAAGTTATGTTCACAATTCTTCCAACCTGGATCACCATCATTGCTGCGACTACTCTGTCCCACTGTAGTATTTGCTTTTCCTCTGCTATTGATAGGTTTTGTTTTCTTTCTCTTGACACTTTTAGGCCTCTTTTTTCGATCCCTTGGATTTATTTGTCCGCTTACCAGTTTTACGGTCAGGAGGAGTGAAATCTTCATCAGAGGAATCAAAATGGCCCTCATCTAAAGTTTGGTCAATAAATTCCTCCTAAAATGGTAGAAACAGTTCGTAAATAAATGTATAAAACAAAAAATTAGACATGGTTCAGCTGCTATTAGCACACTTGCTGCTCGCAAACGTTCTTGTTTCACACAGATTACACTAATGAAATTCTAAACATTCAGTTGGGCAGAGCAGTAAAGACATCAAATAATAAGATCGTTTATTTCGGTGACTGAATACCTAATTTTACTCAACAATGGACTTCTTGTACTCTGATGGTTTCATGATGTATACAGAAAAATATAACTTACTTCATTTGGCTGATTATCCAAGTCCAGCATATTGTTTCTAAAGCAGGAATCATCTCTGATCATTGCAACATTGGTTTCATGAGCAAAATTGATCGGGCAGTTGTCTTTTGAGCCATTATCTTCACAATCCTTATGATTATCTGGTTTGTCAGAGTCTGGCATGTCCTAATCACCAGAAAGTTCCCAATCTGAAGCCAAAATTGTTTCTAAAACTTCGCTAAAGTCTACATTAGAACACGACGCCGTGCTGGGTGAATAAAAAATGGCGTCGGCCAAAAGAGAAAGGATTTTATTTTGACCAGCGCATCAGCATTTATTATTCAAACATTGCGAAACTTTGTGTAAGACAGAATGTAAACATACTAAGTCGAAATATCCTTTGTTACGCCAGTAATGCGCAGGTAGAAGCTTTCTATCCCCATGGGTACACAGCAGGGTCATTAACGACCCGTTTCGACGATAAAGAGTTTTAAACAGATAGCTTATTGACCCTCTAGTGCCCAAGGGTTTCGCTGTGACGAGTAAAATCGTCTGGTGTTAGACGGCGTAAAATACTAAAGTGTCACAATGGCCACTGGAGGGTTGAACAGACAGTTTATTAAACAGATAGCTTATTGACCCTCTATTGTTCCCAAGGGTTTCCATGTGACGAGTAAAATACTCTGGCGTTAGACGGAGTAAAATACTAAATTGTCACAATGGCCACTAGAGGGTTGAACAGACAGTTCTTTAAACAGATAGCTTATTGACCCTCTAGTGCCCAAGGGTTTCCCTGTGACGAATAAATTCATCTGGCGTTAGACAGAGTAAAATACTGAAGTGTCACAATAGCCACTAGAGGGTTGAACAGACAGTTTATTGAACAGATAGCTTATTGACTCTCTAGTGCCCAAGGGTTTCCCTGTGACGAGTAAAATCGTCTGGCGTTAGACGGAGTAATTTACTAAAGTGTCGCAATGGCCACTAGAGGGTTGAACAGACAGTTCGTTAAACCGATAGCTTATTGACCCTCTAGGGCCCAAGGGTTTCCCTGTGACGAGTAAAATCGTCTGGCGTTTCACGGAGTAAAATACTAAAGTGTCACAATAGCCACTAGAGGGTTGAATAGACAGTTCTTTAAACAGATAGCTATTGACCCTCTAGTGCCCAAGGGTTTCCCTGTGACAAGTAAAATCATCTGGCGTTAGACGGAGTAAAATACTAAAGTGTCACAATGGCCACTAGAAAAAAAATACATATTATATAAAATAATGCTAAAAACCTAGACTAAAAATTAATATATTCCATAGATACAAATATTCTAAATGACCCATGCACTTTCTAGTTAAGTCTTCTTAAAAAAAAAAAAAAAATGTTCGCATAAATCTAAGGTAAAGAGAATTATATACAATATTTCATGCTCATACAGTAAGACGTTTATTGTAGAGTTTCTCAATATGTACACCGTCCTTCCACTAATGCTAGATCGATCTCTCCTCCAAAGGAGGAGATTGGTCGATGTAAAGAAGATCTAGCCCCACGCAAGCACATAATTGCTGATCGTAACAGCGAAAAACTGAGTCTACATCTCATCCAGTTGATTGTCTTACTATACGCTTTATCATGTTTATCAGCGATTAAAGATGCAATTCTCTTATAAACTACGTTTGCAGTGGAGCCCATACCACCCGCTGTTGAGAATACAAGAGGGGAGAAAGACCCATGTTCTACTTCACGGATTCGTTCATCATATGCTCTTCTTTTCTCAAGCTCATTTCTGCGATAGCATTGGGGAGAGAGGTATTACGATAGCTCGGTGCCAAGGGATTAAAAACCCTAACATCAAAAAATGCACGTTGCCGATCACCTCCCCAAAAACTTTCAGCTACGATATCAAGTCGAGCACCATCCTCTTTATTGGCTGTTCTATACGAAAACACTTCATTGGTTATAGGTTGTAGGCTTGGCCAGTGCCAACTCCATGACATACCTCAGTCAAGAGTTCGGCGGTGATGTCTCGTAACTCATTGTGCCGAATTGACGGAAATCCACCCCGTGACAGCTTAGAGCATGTTCTAGGGTAAGTTTCTGATCACAGACGCAACGAGAAGGTAGTTGTTGAGGAAGCCAACCGTATCTGAGACATAAAGCATCACGAAAAGCACCTTTATGAAGAGTGAAACCATACTCAGACAGCGGAAGCGTGGTAAGCCATGTTGAGGCTCCTTTCTCAGATGCTATTTCTATAGATCTCTGTAAATCTGGAGATAATTTACCGACTATCTCATTTGC